CTTGTCTTGTCTAAAATTCTTTCTAATATGCGTTATTCTGAGCAATTTGTACATATTATCTGAGCAGGGTGGCATTCTTTTTTTGGAACCTCAACCTTGGGTCTCATATTACAAAAACCGTCTTGTATCTGAGGTACAAAATTTGCTTCTTGATTTTTATGCATTGGTTTAGATATGTGGCTCTAAGCGGACTGCATATAAAGGCTCTGATTATGAAGTTGTGACTTACAAGGGCCTCTTCTTTGCGTTTGCCTACATAGCATTTTAGTGTTCTGTCATCTTGGTGCCTTGAATTATCTTGGTGCCATTCTTTCCTGGTAAAACTGCGAGGGCAATGGAAGAAGTGCCTTTTTAAGTACATTTGAGTTTCAAATTTGAACATCTATTTACATCCTTCAGAATTTTCCACTAACAGATAAGCAATATTGTAAAGTAAAACCCACTTGCCACATCTTCTAGTATATCAACTATGTTGGCATCTCTAATTGTTATTTACACAACTGGATTTTCAAATCTGCATATCTTGGAATATCTATTATTTTATATTTTAATTATTTCTCATGGGCACATGAAATTTCTTGTTCATCCAAGTGACGGGTGATCTAGGGAAAAACTTGCCCACTACATCTACATGTTATAAAAGTAGCAGTTTGTCTGCAAGCTTGTTATGTGAACATCTCTTAAATAGTTTGAATAGTCTATTGTACTTTTTGGGCATTGTTTACTCGAATCAATGATATATACTTGCTCTGTAGGTGGCACAAACTAATTATCATAAGATTAAGATTGAACCTGAAGATTTTCAAGAAGTTCTTCTGGACAAGTACATCTCCCCCCCCCTCTCTCTTTCCCACCATTGAGGCTAGAAGTAGCCAAATGAAATGCTAAACAAACATCTCAGGCAGTGAAAATAATCTTATGATATTGATCTTGGATACTGTTGCAGGTTGGATTTAGGATGGTTGAGAATATCACTTCAAGCTTGTCAGAGAGCAAAGCCGGATTTAACAGGCCAATCCTGGCATTCTGGAAATAGCTTTATTGTATAACGGAATGTGACATCCTAAGTAGATTTTTGTATGCAATTGCATTATTCTTTCTTGCCATTGAGATGAGATTGTAAATAGACAAAATATATCTAGCCAAAGTCGGTATGCCTTGATGCTAAAAATACAAAAGTTCTGGGCCCTTTTTTTTTTTTTTTGGGTGGCTTCACTACTGCTTAAAGTTTGTAGAATGAATGGTATATAATCCCTGAATTTAAAGATTTGATGCTATCTTTGGACCCGGGATTTTTGGAGAGATTAAGGGATAATATGGAGAAAAGCATAACAAAGCGAAATATTATTTATATTCTTTCCTTGCCGAATTTGTGTAGGAAAATTATGGGAAATGAAAAATGAAATGCATAATTGGCGTGCAAATCATTTTTGTCAAGTCATTAACAAAAAAAAAAAATTAATTCGCTCTTCTTAATCTTTTCTATTCACATGTATGATAATCGCATGCTCCATGGCTTTGTCCCCTGCCTTGTTCCGGAGACAATATGGGTGATTAAAAAATTGGAAAGACAGGGTTTCTGCATGTCAACCTTTATTTTTATTTTTTTTGGACCGGCATTTGAAACTCTGAATAAAACTTGAATGTTAGGCCTGAGGACCTACTAGTAATTTTCTCCACGTGCCTGCTTATTATGTAGCATCTCAATTAAATTAAAACAAAAAGGGTGAATTTTGGCCGCAGCTTTTGTTAGAAATGTTATTAATATTTCGGGTATTTTCATTTCCTTAATTTTTTTCTAGTTTGTACAAGTGGTTGAAAAATGAAAAAGTCGTCCAAAAAAACAAATGCGACGTAATACCATTAAGTTTTACTGATATTTTTACCCACACCACGCCTGACTAAATAACTGCTATAATGTTGCTCATAAAATTTGATGACTTGGCTGACGCTTAATTGGCGGAAAATTTGGGTGAAAACACGTTCTTCTCTGAAAACACGTTCTTCTCTCTTTTTCTTTCCATTGAGAGACGTAATTATGAAAAACTGTTTCATGATTCAAAAGATAGACGATCAAGATTGGTAACCAATACGCTCTATAGCCATCCATCCAGTAACTTTGCTTTTACAAATTGCACTACCCGGGTTCCACGCATCTTCTGCTATAACCGGCTCTTTCGTTTTCCCTGCTGACAGTTCCACCATAAACCATTTTGTCCACTTATCAGAGATTTTAGGTCCGGAATCAAAGATATTGGTAAAAGAAACTTTCTTAAGAACCCCATTTTGAGCTTCAAAAGACCTTAATAAAAATAATTAAAAAAAAAAAAAAAAAGCCAGCCCGAGAGCCCCACTTTTTTTTTGGTGCCAAACATCAAAGCAAAAGCTCAAAAGCTTTAATTTTGGATTGTGACACCAACACCCCCTCTAAGCATTCCAATGGCGCCACCTCACCATTGATCTTGTTTTCCTTCCAGTCCAATTTTATATTTCTCTTCTAAAGAGCACCATTTACCCAAGATTACTCCATTTTTGACAAACAAGACCACACCCAGTTCAAAACTTTGTCGCTCCTTGCTTGATTCTATTTTGCATTCGGTTACTTCCAAGCTATCACAAATCTATCCGACAATCAAGACAACCGTGCACGGCATTACAGAATAATGCAGATTCATCCAACCATCCAGCAATATCTGACTCGGTACAGGATCATGTGGCCCGTACAGTAACCCCTGCGATGAGGCATTATGTTGAACATGCAGAGCAAGAGGACCAATGGGGATCAAATTGTTCTCATGTGTACCAAGTGGCGTACGTTCTCAGTACCAAAGGATCTCATTCTCCAAATTTCATCTCTAGAATTTCTACTCAAGCAGAATTGATCCTCTTTTCATGTAATACACAGCCTCATTTACATTGGTCCTGCAACATCTGTTCCTAAATTTACCACAAAGCAAGCATTAAGCTTCCAGGCTGGGATGTCAGATGCAAAGTAGCATTGGGCCAAATGAAGAAAACACAATGTCAAACACCATTCATTTTATCAATCATGACCAAAAGAGATTAAAACTCAGTCGTATATTCATTGGTGAAGCCATCAAATATTAAGATCTTGAACATATATGAGCTATCAAATACTTACTCTGGAGCACAGATCATCCATCCTGTGATGATTGATTATGTCAATCTATTAACCCAGATAGCCAAACCATCACCACTGTTAATCAGGAAGTGCAATAGAATTATGATGCCCAAATTAGCCAAGCATTAAACCTTAATTATGTCTCCATATCCATATTCTGCATAAATCAGCACATAATTTTTGCCCTACACGATCCTACAAAACTTCTTCCAATGCATATAGCATGACCCAGCATCCACTTAACTTACCTCCCACCCTTTTCCTCATAATGGAGCTTTGAAGAGATTCTAGATCCAGAAATGGGAAAACACCAAATAACTGCTATTTTACTCCTCAAATTCATAACCAATGCTGTAAACTAGCCAAGTCTGGCTACCATTTAGTGATTCTGCAAGCCAGTGCACATAGCTTTCAACTGAGCAAAAAACCAAATATCAAATAGGATACCATGTAATTCCAGCAGTCCCCTCTATTATCTTCGGTTAGGATAATTAGGCTGAAGCATAGACTACCATGATGAAAAACATAAGCAGTTTTTCCAGATGCACTACCAAATTCATGACCTCTCTTGATTTTAGTTTCAGAATCTGAATAGCAATTCAGCTGCAGTAATATTAAATTAGATATTTAATCAGCCCTAGACAAGATGGATATTCCAGGTTCACCTGTTCTAACAAGGCAGCCTCCATTCAAGAAAAAGGTGAGCATGTGTTGTCTTCATACCTTGTTGGTTAATCATACTTTCTGAATCAGTCCACCCAAGGAAAAGATCCTGCAAGTTACAAAGGATCCACAACTGAGCTTCAAGTTAGAATAACTTACACAAATTTGTAAACTGACAAAAGAATTCTAAAATTTTAGAACAGGATCTCCAAACAACCCAATATGTTTTAGATTTTTAGGGGACCTAGACTAGGATAAAGAATATACCATTGGGAAGTTACAAAATTTTAACTACAATGCCAAGAAAACAAAAATATTTAACACCTGCATTCTTACCTGCTTTTGCTGATTTTTCTGTGTTGAAAGTACTCAATCATTAACAATGAATAAAGCTAAAAAACTGTAAGAAAACATCACCATACCACTCTAGTGTGAAGAAGAAAAGGGGAAACCTACTATCAAAGAAGGCATGCAAGTCGAATCTTTCCTTTTTTTTTCTCTGAATGTTTTAGTGCTCTCTATGTGCTGCTCCCAGTGGAATAGTCCATACATCTATGCATAATATATTAGCAAAAAACCATGAAAATATTGTGCCTCGATCTCAAAAGTAAAATGCAGTAAAGTTACAATGCAAATGTTCAATAAACAAACAAGCAAAGACTCTCAACTATTATAACCAAAAAGAAAATTGTGTTTTCTTAACAGAAGAATTCAAGAAGAAACATTTCACACATCATTCTGTTACACAGAACCATATACACAGTTACTGTGTAGTTTTAAAATCTATGTACAACATGGGACAAACTCTGAATTGTCAGTGTTCAAGGATGAACCAATGGTTTAGTCACCTTAGAAGATTAAGCAAGCAGCTTGGCAACTAAAACATAAAACTTTGATAATGGCACAGCATCTTCCAATCTCCGCATCAAATCTTGTCAACTGAGCTGAGTTACCACAATGAAGAGTCAGCCCCATGTTTGCAGTTGTACAGGAACTTGACAAAATGATCTAACATCCGCAAACAAATGATGAAAAATCCAATCCTTCTCATTTCAAGACTGCCCTTGATGAGTAATGGTAACCATAATCAAAACCTGTAGTTAGTTTAGAATGAGAATCGGCAGCAAAAAAATGCTATAAGCTTGCCAAAGTAAAAACTACAAAAACATTTCACCAAGTAAACTACCATGATCAATCATTTAGTAGAAGAAATACGATGCAAGGATGAAATCCAACTGCTTGAAGGACCAACTTTGTCAACATTCCCATGACTAAAGTTTGTACTTTCAGGAGGTAGAACAGCTTTTGAGGCTGCCTTCTGTTTTGAAACACCAGCAGAAGAAAATGAAACCGACGGTAAATCTGTGTTGCCCATTACCTATCCAAACAAGGAACAAAAACAAAGAAACAATGAAAGAAAGTAGTTACTAAATTGAATGAAAAAGGCAACTAATGGTGGGTAAGAAGAAATTATGTTATACTCGAGAAAACCAACTAAAACTTTTACATGGACATCTAACTTGATAGTTCAGTAAGGAATTCACGTTTACATAATAGAAAATGGATAACTTACATTTCTCTCGAGGGGATTGTCCAATCTCAGATTCCTTCCGATTTGGGGTTTGAAGTGCATCCTAATTCCAGGACTACCAGCATTGTCCAATCTCATACGTTCTGTTACATCAGCTGAATAGGAAGCATGTCACAATTGAGTGATAATTAACAACCAAAACTCTTAACATGTCATGATTAGATGCAAAGAAGTAATCAATGCACGGCCAAAACTCTTAATATCACTGAGAACATCACTACTAGCTCTGTCATACAACCAGAGATTTAAAAAAAAAAAAAAAAAAAAAAAAAAAAAGGAATCCCCACTGTGATTATCCCAAATTTTTTTTATTATAATCATTAGAATTCCAAAAGTTCATATATTTCAGATATTTGTTAGACATGCAATAACAGTTCATTCCTAACACAGTGTACACTAGATGAAGAGTCAACCCATAGAGATGAGAAACTGACTCTTTCCGGCCACCCATTGTTTCAAAAGACATAAAAAGCAACTACTTAATCTAAAGGAACTTAAATGAAACATGCTAAGTTTCTTTTAGTATGATCATTGCTCCAGCAAGTTTACTGTAATTGTCTCACTAACAGCACGAAAGTTGAAGATGACATCTACCTTGATGTTTGTCCAAATCCATAGGCATTGCTCTGTTGTTGCCCTCTCCAGTAGCTGGCTGTAAAGAATAAATTTTGAATCATGTCAGAGGCATCAAAGCCAGATAATTTCTCATCTTAAATCAAGCACCATATTTTTTTATGCAAATACTTCTTGTACAACAGAGATTAAAAAAAATTAAACAAGCTTTAAAATCATCAACCATTTACAAACATCATTTCAATCACATCCAAGAAAATTCTAGCAGGTACAAAGGGAATCCAGAAAACTAGGGAGTCAGAATACTCACAGATAATCGTGGATGAGTCCGGTTCTTTTGTGATTGCTGATATTTTAGAATAGTCCAATCAAAGATGTAGTCAAATTCAAATCCTGCCAAGAGGAAGAAATTGTCATCTTCCTAAATATAAGAATATGCCGAAAGAACAATGAGCACATAGAACTACTTAGGTTCATTCTCTTATGAACCAAGAAAAAGAAAGAATTGGCAGTAGACAGAGGCAAACATTAATTTGGTGACATATATTATTCACTGCCTCATCTAAACATACAATTGAATAGAGGAAAAGGATAAACATAATGAGCAAAACAACAGTTTGGCAAGCCACAAATGAGTAGTCTCATAGCTCAAAAGCCAATTAGCATGGCTGTCCCTAAGAAACCACTGCAACCATTAAAAGATCCATATTAACTATTCAATATTTGCCTATGTCTTAACATTTTGGTTAATTCCAGTTTAGGATCCATTTTTATCAATAATTTGATAAGAAAAACATCAAGGCTTGTGTTATGCCCATGTTGTAGGATTTGAACGAAAATTCATTTCATTGAGTTTTTTCCTTCTGCAATGTACAACAAAGCCAATAGAACCAGCGGCCCATGGCAGCACCAGCAAAATGAAAATTATGTTCAAACAGTCAATAATGCTTATTTGAATAGCCTTCTTTCTCTTCAGATTGAGCTGGAATAGATAAAATTATATCAGGAATGGAGCAGTTTGAACAATGCTTCCAAACAGCCCCACAAAATACTAGACATGAAAAATACTTGGCTACTCTAGCAGCAGTAATTTTCACCAATATCTAAGTCACAAAAAGGTATCATGCACGCTAGGACAATTTGGCATGGAAAACTTATTGGAGAGAGAGGATTCAAAGCTACATCATCAATGCAATGCTAACAGACATGAAGTAAGTGCCACTGCCAGCCAATACCTTCACGAATGAATAATTCACGGAATAGGCGCTTTAGAAATCCATAATCAGGTCGCTGATCAAATGTCAGAGAATGGCAGTAATGGAAGTATGAAGCAAACTCCACTGGGTGAGACTTGCACAAAACCTTATGAATGGACAGGAAAGGCAGCTCAAAGTGAATTTTGCACGCAATTAACAGCATTATCTAGTATACAAATTAATAGCAGATACACACCTCAATAGGAGTAGATAATTTCTTCTCACATATTTTGTCATACTTCTCCTTCTTCGTTGCAGCTTTTAAACCCTGCCATGGGAGGCTATATGCAAACACATCCATCAGCAATTGCAAAACAATGAGAAAAATGCACTAATGCATAGGAGTGTCATGTGCATACACAAGTCAAAATGTGTGTAAGGATGCACCTAAGACTCAACCACAGACAAACAGAAGTTAGATTTGGAAACGATATTTGCAGTATCCAAGAGCCATGCGTAATAAGTCAATCATCCAAGAGACTAATAAAAAAAATACAGCTGAATAATAATAATAGAAAAGAGAATCAGTGGAAATCTTTACCTTCCCCTCAAGAAGTATAAAAGTACATATCCAAGAGACTCTAAATCATCCCGCCGGCTTTGCTCTATAGTTAAGGCACAAAGACAGAATATTATGCATCTGCTTTAAGAAAAAAGAAAAGCTCAAAAGGCTGCCCATGCTTACCAATTCCAAGGTGAGTATTGCAACTCGCATAACGTGCTGTACCCGTCAAATTTTTGTTCTCCCTACATTAAATTTTAATACAGCCAAGAAGATTTTTGTCATTGTATTAAGAAAGCAACAGTAAACTATAACAGTTTACACCATTCTTAAATGAGTCAATTTGGGAACTGAATACAATAGCTAGAAAACTTTGTTATCACATAAGCACACAAGAATAAATAAATGAATAAAGGATCGATTGTGCAACTGCCCTTCAAAAATATCCACAAAAAAGGATCAGAAAAAGTCAAGAGCATAGTACCTGTAAGGAATGTGACGATTAGTTGTAGAATCCCTGTATCTTTTTGCTAGTCCAAAGTCGATAATGTAAACCTGACAATTAAAGCAAATGGATCAAAACTCAGAAACAAGCAAAAAGAAGATAAAAGCCATCCAAATCAAGAATTGTAGGACTTAGTGCTAACTTGATTTGCTTTTCGACCAAGACCCATAAGAAAGTTATCAGGTTTAATGTCCCTGTGCAAAAACCCTTTTGAGTGAACATATTCGATTCTTGTAATCTGCAAGAGGGGAAGTGGAGGATTGGTTATATGACAAATGCAATGCTTACAAACTTCTTATTGGAAAAGGACCTGAACAACAAATACAATAACAAGAAAGTTGTTAGAATCCTGCAACTAAAGCCCTTCTTAAACACCAGCAACAATAAATTAGAAAAGCAGAAACAGGTAATCCTTGAGCATGAGCAGGTTGAATATGACTTGAGTGCCAGTGAAATTGAACAAAATAGTAGTGGCCCTTTGTCGGTGAACAAGTTGTTAGAAAGCATTTCTAATAGCCACTCAAAGGTTATGTAATTGCTAATTACTTCAAAAAAATATGGTAATGCAATTGCACATCTCTTTTCCTTGAGGAATCGCTGCAGCAGCCATTATTAACTGATGTAGTAAACTACATGCATCATCATGCAGTTTATTTCATCCATCTCATTCATGTTCAACTATGATGAGAAAAAATGCTAACCATCTGATCTGCTAACATCAAGACAGTCTTCAATGAAAACTTTCTGCCACAGTAAACAAATAGATCTTCAAGGCTCGGTCCCAGCAAATCTAGGACAAGTACATTATCTTCCCCATCTACACCAGACCATTTGATGCTAGGAATGCCACCTATAAGGACATGCAATCATACAAAAATGAACAACAACGTAAAAGAGGGTAGCATACTACAAGTAATAAGATTGATAAAATTTCACACAGAATTGGAAGCTCTTGAGCACAGAAAGTGAAGCAAAAAGAAATCAAATGACTTTTGACATACTTCCTCCTTGCAGAACATTATACAACTTGGCCTCATAAAACAGTTGAGGATGTTTGGTCTTACTATTTTCCTGTAACCAGAAATTATCGCTACAATTAATCCACTTGAAGATCAATGTAAAAGAAGTGGTAAAGTTCTAAAATGAACAAAAAATAAAACTTAAATTACAAGATGAAGCAGTTAAGTAATACAAAATCATTTCAAAACCTAATTCAGCAAAACTCATTATCTCAGAGCTAGTGACTCTGAATTGAACACAAATTACAGACAAGTTAACCAAAATTAAAAAATAAATAAATAAAAGAAAGAAAGAAATTGTATAAGGTAAATTTTCACCGTATGAAATTGGGGAAAAGAAGAACAAGGAAAAACCACCAGTCTATGGAGCCCACCCAATTTTCAATAAGGTATAGCCATGTGAATTTTTCCCGTACAACTTCAACTTAAATCTGAGCAAATATGTCCGGCAAACAGAATTGACAGAAGCATGTTTGAACTACCCTCAAAGGAGAAGCTTAAAAAAAAACAGAGAGAGACTGGATCTCACAACCAATCTTACAGCTCACTTCGTGGGCTAGTTCCTTTGCCTCCAATATTATTAACTCATTTAGGCGGCCGAAAATTTTTGACTTGGTTGGCCTATACATTTACGAAATTAGAAATAAAAAAGAACACCCTCCATGCTAGTACTGTTAACTGATCCATTTCAACCATTGAATTAATACAATTGAGACATCCAGCAGTGGTTAAAAAAAAAAAAAAAAGACCCAAAAAGGTTTCAAGTAAAAAAGATTCCAACTCACGATCTTGACAGCAACAATCTCAAACGTATCAATATGAGTAGCTGCAAGAAAACAAATCAACATCAGCCAAACAAGAGAATTGTCTGAGCTAAATTCCTTCGTGTTCTTAGACACAAAAATGCTAATTCTAACTCACCAAGATAGATTTCTCCAAATGATCCACTCCCGATCTTGCGGCCGAGCTTGTATTTGCCTCCGACAACCCTCTCCATGCGCTGAATCGGATCGGCCGATCGAATCTGACAGATCGTCAAACAAAGATATCGATTTGGCCTTGATCTTCTGAGAAAAGAGGCGAATTGACTGCAACGATCGATTGGTAAAGAAGGAAAAAATTGCTGATTGTTATGCAGAGAAACTGAAGCCACACAACCGATGATTCGGGCGAAAAGAAGACGACTTCGAGGAGAGCGAAAGAGATCTCTAGGAGACTTTACGCCGTGCTTCCGAGGGGGCGGAGGAGAGGATAAAATTGCCACGTAGAGAAAAGACATTGGAGGGTACTTTTGGAATTTCCGAAACGCGTGTCACCATATTTATTGACTAATGCATTTTGAACTTTTCACAGGGTTATTAATAATTTTTACTTAAAATATATTTTATTAAATCTTTTTTATGTAAAATATATAAATTTTTTAAAAATTATTATTTAATAATTTAAATTTATATATTTTAAATAAGTAATTCCGTGTGTCAAGATAAAGTATAAATAAAAAAAGTACCAAACTTCAATAATTTGAATTCAAATTGTTATCATAGATATCAAATTTTATCTGAATTTAAATACGATATTACTAAACACATATTCTATAAGATTTTAAATTAAATTCGAATTTAAATTACCATAATTTGGCTTGAACTCATCCTTTAACAATCTTAGGCCTATTTGGTTGGCCTATTTTCTATTTTCATTTTTAATAAAAATAAAAAATAGATATAAAATTGTGTTTGGTATTTCATTTTCATTTTTATTTTTAGAAAACATTTTCTAAAATTAGGTGAAAATTGGAAAATGATAAAAAGTTATTTTTTACATTTTCAGTCTAAGACTGAAAAACGTAGTGACAATTTTGAAATAAAATTAATTTTCAGTGTGTTGTCTCGTAATGCTCAAATCTATGCTACTGTTCCACGCCATCGAGTTTGCCAACAAACAAAATTGTAGACAGATTTCGTCGCCAATTCAATTTTATCACCCAGCAAACAGAGTTGTAGATAGAGTTTGTCATCATTGCAAGTGACGGAGTCAGCTCTGTAGAGCATGATCTTCATCTGTCATCGTCGCGAAATTGTTGGCCCTCAAATTTATGAATGTAGCATAACCTGCATCCACCGTTGTCTACTGAGCATCATCCATTGAGCGTCGTCTGTCGTCCTTCGACTGTCGTCCCTCTTCCATCGCATGAATCATCAATTGATACTGCATAAACCAATCGGACATGCCCAAAACTTTTTCTTTTTTTTTTCTTTCTGAAATTTCATTATTTGGGAGATTGTTTATCCAAATTAGTTTAGGATTTTTGTTATTTAGGGTACACAACATTGCATGAAAAATAGTTGATTAGGAAGTTGTATAAAGTTAAGTCGTGATTAGGTCTGTTAAACTCAATCATGACTCGCTTAAGGTAGGGGATGACCCTCTTTGCAATTCTTTTATTTATTTTTTAGTCCATGATCTCCTCCTCATTGTTCAATTCACCCCTAAACTCTTCAATTCTTAATTTAAACTTTGGAAGTTCTAATTTTTTCACTTAACCCTTAAAAACCCTAAAAGTTTGATTTTCTTTAATTGAGTCCTTATTTTAATTTATTGAAAACGAATAAACTAAACATATTTTTGTTATTTTTATTTTGTGAAAATAGAAAATAGTAAATCAAACCAAACATATTTTCTAAAATTCAAAAATCTAAAAATAAAAACTCTTTGTAAAACATAGAAATAAAAAGTGAAAATGAAAAACATTTTTGCAAACCAAACACCCCCTAATTACGAAGATTAATGGCTCTCAGACCTCACATCCAAAATGTTACTACGTAGTATCCATGATATGTATGTCATATTTATCTTTGTTTTTGTCAAAATATTTTTGAATTTTTATTAAGAAGTTGATTTCTCGTTAACTTTTCTCCAAGAAATCAGAACTAGGTTTTGAAATCTTATAATTAGGTAAGTGAAGTTAAAACTTATACGGTCACAAAATTTTAAAAATAAAAATTCAATTAACCTTATGAAAAAAATAAAGAAATTACAACATGTTACATTATAAATTAGCATAAGCTGAAAAAAAGACTATAATTTGTATAATTTTTGAAAGAAACTTTATTAGCTAGTAAATTGAGGAAAGAAATCAAAACATAAGAATACAGTATGTAGTCCAGCTGGCTTCAGGGCTTTAATACTTTTCTAGTGATCATTGTAGCTGAAAATTTAGATAAATAGAACTTTTAGCTTTTGAAAACGACCTAATTGTCATTGTTGATACAGGTGCTTGGAGACAGTCAGGGTTTGTGATAATTTATTAAAAAATTATTGAAGATAACAAATTTCCACCGTTCATTTCCTACTTAATTAGTGTAAAAAAATAAATAAACATTATCAGATAAATTCATAAAGTAAAAAGGTTCAAAACTAGTAGATTCAATGTACACATGGAAGAAAGCCATACCCCTTCTCTGCCGAATTTGCTAGGAGATCTCGGGTTGAAGGTTGGATAAGGACAGAAGTCCGATCTCGATACAAAGTTTGATGAATTCTCACCACCTTGTGTCTCGAGAGAGAATGGGCGCCACTCCCCCAATCCCTGTTCTACCATCCAAAACAGACCAGTTGTTCTGAGTTTTTAAGTTGGGTCACCCAACCCAATCGACTGGATTTGTGGAATCTAAACAAATCAATTCAACTGGATCTAATTTTAACTTACTAACTTTTTTTTTTTTTTTGAAACTACCATTTATGAACTCCAATAGCTATTATATATGAGCGATATGATTTATAATTTTTGTGTTATATCAAATTTATATATATATTATATATTTTTATATTTATATTTAATATTGTGTACGTAGCGTGAATCTAACTCTACTTAGTACCTCGTGTACAGTACGGGTTGAATGCTAGTTAAGTTTAGAATAAATAATCAAATGCAGAATCATTCGTTTTGAAGTATATTACTTTGTAAACAAAGAGTCCATTTATGGACTATCTGATCTATGAAGTAGCTTGCTGTCTTCTAATATTTGGGAAGTATTTGCTCTTAAGAGATGTAAATTTTTTGACAAATAGGCTACCCTTGGTGGGAAAATAGATGGGAAAAAATTTTCATTTAATTTGGATATTTGTACTAATACTTTTAAGGCAATGCCACCAAATCAAAAGAATATACTTGAATTTGCTAACAATTAGAAGTAAAAGTTTAAAAATTCAAAAAAAAAAGAGAAAAAGAAAAATTTTAGAATTTAAGATTTGCTAAATATATATTTTAACAATTAAAGCATTGAAAATTAACTTAATGTCGTTACATATATATTGAATAAATAAATAAATTTTAAGCATTGCCAACTTATACTCTTTGGCCAACAAAAGAAAAATACTCCTTTTGGAAATTAAAGTCATATTTGTTCTACATTTTCTCCCAGCAGGCAAAACAAGGTTTTCCTTAAATTGAATATTTGGAGTCATTTGGATGTTAATTATGTGAATTTGACTAGGAGTCAGATTTTTTTAATTATTATTTGAGTTAGAATTTTTGGAGTTATTAAAACTATAAATACTGTTTGGATGATAATATTTCTGAATTGTGTATTTTGCAAAAAATGTTTGGGTGGTGCTAATTGAAAATGCCTAGGTTAGGCGCAAGTGTTTGGATGACTCATGTTTTCAACTATATTTTTTAATTGAAAAAAAAATAAAATATAGACAATTAAATAAAGATGACAATTAAAGAAATTAACAAACAATTAAGTAAAATTCATCTTAAAACACCACAAATTAACTTGTCAATTATTCCCATTATAGTAAGATAGTACAAAACACCATAAATATTCTACCACTACATTATCCAAAAAGACAACAAACCTCGATGGCACACTAGACTATCCAACTTAGCTGAACCAAAAATCTCATCTAGTTGTGCCATGCCATAGTTGGTCTACAATGGCATCTCTTACTTGACCTATTACTACAATTTCAGTTTGGGAGACAACTACGTTAGATGCATTTTCAGGTGCATGCCCACGTGATGTGGTATCTGATACAATATTAGAGTCCTCCATCTCCTAAAACCACGGATTGTCATTTGCATACTTGCGAATAAAGTTGTGGAGGCAACAATATGCAATAACAATTTGACATTGTCAGGTAAGCATGTAGTTTAGTATCTTCCTTGTTAGGATTGCAAATCTTAACTTCAATACACCAAAACAATGTTGTATCACATTACACAACGACAAATGCCTATAATTATACAATTCTACGCAAGTACGGGAACCCCTTTTACTCTCTTTAACATCTTGCAAGTGATAACCCAAATCTCTATAAAGAGCAAGAAATCGGGGCATGTTGGTATAAGTCGAGTCTATAACATAATATTTTCCTACAAATATTAGTAACAAAAATTAAAATTCAATCTAATTTCTCATAAAAATTGAACAATACACGTCAAACAATAGTTTCCCATAAAAATAACAAATTCATTGAGTAAATTGAACAATACACATCAAACAATAGTTTCCCATAAAAATAACAAATTCATTGAGTAAGATATATTACCCGATGAAAGCATGGGAAAATTCATTTTAGGCCTGACTAACACAGTACCACTCTTGAATTATTGACACTACCTTTCCACCCAGACTCCACACGGATAAAATACATGTCAAATTCACAAACAATCAATACATTTTGATGGATTTTGGATTTTCTAGAGTGAAATATAATTGATTATTGGCTGAAGCATGGGTAGATATAATGGTTCCATCTAGGATACCAACATAATCCTACAATATGATATCCATAATTAAATTGACAATTATGTATACAATTAAAAAAATATAATTACTCTTAGTACTTGTCTTACATATCTCGAAATATGGATAAAATTTGGAATCCCCTATTATCCTCAAGGGAGTATGATGAAAGTCAGGAGGTGGTATCATCTCCTTGCCAAGCTTAATAATCACTCTCATTACCAGTCTTACATGCCTATTAATAGTT